TGCACAATTGACTGGAACAACTTCCAACATGTCATATGACATGATGCGCACTTTAAGGGTTAATGAATTTGAATGAAAAGATTTGTTGTTAGACAAAGAAGCAAATGAGATGTATCATTGTTTTGTGAGATATATGTTGAAGACACATAAAAAATTATACCAAAACAGAGATGTTGAACTAGAAAACAGGATTGATTTAACAAGAATTGTGAGAGAGCCAGAGAACAAAAGACAAAAATTGGAATCAATGTAGGAATAGGCTATGCCCTCAAATACCCCAGCAATACAAAGAATCAAGAAACAAATACACAGCAGTAAGAGGAGAAGCAGAAATAAATTTTCAGAAAAGGATAGTGGAGAAATGTAAAACAGAACCTCTCCTATTCCATAAATTCATTAACCCTTAAACCGTGCAAAACATACATATACGATTTGACATAACTAAAGTTTTTCAAACTTGCACAAACACTTTCCAATTTTTTGTGCGTAATCAACAAGGCGAATGCTCCCACTTTGTCTAAATGATCACAACGTAACTTGAAAAACAAGAAGATAAAAAGTAATTTTAAAAGTCAATATTGAAAACTTCAGATTTTCAAATGAGCTTCAAAAATATAAAATATTACCAATTGTTCAATTGGTGTTATTATGCTTTCAGAATAGCATATGATTTTCATTGTTATCAGATTAGAATACTGTATAAGTTTTCAGTGTAGTTTACTGTAAAAAAAATTTTGTCAATATGGCATTTGAAATATGTGGCAAATTTAAACAAAAATAATATATAACTCCAAATGTATAGGGTTTATGAAAAATCCATTCAGAGAGATTGTAGAACAGACAGTTGAACACACAATATGTCAAAATGGTGAGAATCGGTCAGAAACTGGAATTTTAGAAGCAATTCAAAGTTGAAACTAATTTCAGAGGTACTTGAAGTTGAGGTTCTCGACAATGAATAGAGGTAGTTCTAATTCGTTAAGTTAATTGTATGTTTTAATAAACATTGTTTAGCACTCGTACTCGAATATGTGAAATTTGTAGGTCAGTATGTGTTGAAATGAAGTCGAGAAAAAATACCCCCCCCCCCCCAAAAAAAAAAATTATAAGGATAATTATAATAATTATAATGATTTAGAGGATATATTTAGAGTCTATGTTATATAAGTGAAAAAGCCCTAATCTGGTCTCTAATCATCAAAACAACCTAAAGAGACAAAGAAAATAGAGTTTGAAATTTGTGAAAAATATCAGCCAAAGAAAATTCAAAGTACCAAGTTCTGCGAGTTGTGACTTATTTTTTTGTTGACCAATTTCATTCTATCTTCAAATAGTTAGGGAAGGATATGTATTCTCCAGGTTATAAAGGTTACAACAAAATAATTGGAAAAAAATAAAATTGGAATATCACTCCTGGCTCACCCCCCCCCCCCCCCCCCCCCATGGAGAGACAGCCCACTTCACCAGACACAGGACTGAGACAAAAGAATTCCGGAGCCTGAGGCACGTGACGACACCAGACCCATCACCCGAGAACTAGTGTTGGGTTGCCGGCGTGAGAGGTCCGGGGCTCTCTCTTTTCCCTCCCGGGAAGCGGGGGGTTGCGCAGACAGCGTCGCAGCAGAATGTAAACATCATGCTTGTTTGCTAATTTCCGTTTGGGGAGTTCTGTTCACTTGATCGGCTTTCGGTAGCAATATTTTTACTAGAATTGGGGTTTGTTTTGGAACACCTTTCTGGGTGCCTGTCCTGGTCGATGGCAGACATAGAATGCTCCCAACCACAGGGGGGTTTCTATAGGCCATTGCTCCTCATGCCTCTTCTGAGTGGGCTAGGTTCTGGTTCATAGTTCCCAGTAGGCATGAACTCCAAGCACTTTGATGACAGAAAGTTATAGATATCCATTCAGCCTGGATAGCTCCGGGGAGCCGTAGGGGGTCCCCCCCCCAGAAAAGAAATGGTATTCATAGTGTTGTGAGGCATGGAAAGGCTGCCAGCTCAGACAAACCAGTGGCTGAAAGATTTATTGAAGAATTTAAAGATTTTGTAGAGGCTAAGGGATACCAACTGCAACAAGTGTTTAATTGTGATGACACAGGACTGTTCTGGAAAAGACTGCCTAAGAGGACATACATTACCCAGGAGGAGAAATCATTGCCCGGACACAAGCCTATGAAAGATAGGTTTACTCTTGTGCTGTGTGGAAATGTGAGATGCGATTTGAAAATTAAACCCTTGCTTGTGTATCATTCTGAAAATCCAGGGGTTTTCAAAAAATATAGTGTGCAGAAAAACCAAATGAGTGTGATGTGGAAGGCTAATAATAAGGCATGGGTGACTAGGATATTTTTTTTATGGAATGGGTGAATGAGGTGGTTTGCCCTACCATACAAAAATATCTGCAGGAGAAAAGTTTGCCACTCAAGGTCCTGCTTCTCTTCGACAATGCTCCTCCTCATCCTCCAGGCTTGGAAGATGCATTGTTGAACAAATTTAATTTTGTCACAATAAAGTTCCTTCCTCCTAACACCACTCCTCTAATTCAGCCTATGGACCAGAAAATCATAGCAAATTTTAAAAAACTTTATGAAAGGGCACTTTTCCGGAAATGTTTTGAAGTGACTGATGCCACAAACCTCACCCTCAGAGTTTTGGAAAACCCATTTTAACATTTATAGTGGTTTAAAACTCGTTTACAAAGCCTGGCAAGAAGTGACTCAAAGAACCCTGATCTCTGGCTGAAGAAAATTGTGGCCTGAATGTGTGTCAGAACTAGACTTTGAGGGGTTTGAGCCTGTAAATGCAGTGCCTATTGTTGAGGAAATTGATACTCTGGGCTGGAAAATGGGCTTGGAATTGGATGGTGCTGATGTGGAGGAGTTGGTGGAAGAACACAACGAAGAACTGACCACCGAAGAACTCCAAGCCCTTCAAAAGGAGCAGCAACAAGAGGATATTTCTGAGGATGGAGGATGAGGCAGTAGAGAATGTCCCTTCCTCAACAATAGGAAGTGGTGTAGGCTGTGGGAAGAAATGCAAACTTTTGTTGAAACGACTCGCCCAGAGAAAGCTGTAGTAGGCCGTTGCATTAATCTTTTCAATGACAATGTGATGCCTCACTACAGACAAGTGTTGCAAAGAAGGAAAAAACAATCTTCAATGGAACGTTTGCTTGTGAGAAAATCAAGCAGTTAGCCACAACCAGGCCCTAGTGGTATGCAGGCAAAACATTCCAGAGAGTGCACTCCAGAGAAGTCTTCACTGCCTGATGTTATAATGGAAGGGGACTCCCCTTCCAAACAGTTACACCTTTCCTCCTCCCCCCCTCCTCACCATCTTCCATACGCCAATAGAAGTCATCAGCAAGGGTAAGTAATAACTTGAATATACTTTAGTAGTGAAAATTTGGGTGAATTAGGTATAAAATTGACTTTGAAGCGAAGTTTTTTGGGAGTCAGGAACGGATTAATTCATTTCCCATTACAGTATTTCATATGGGGAAATTCGCTTCGGTTTACGAATTTTCGGGTTACAAACCGTCTCCAGGAATGGATTAAAATCGTAAACCGAGGTACTCCTGTAACAATGAGAATCAACAAAATTTATAAAGGAGAATTCTTGAGACCTGGAACTTCAAGAACAAGAGGTCATAGATTGAAGCTAACTGAACAAAGGTGCCAAAAGAACATCAGAAAGTTCACTTATGCAGAGTTGGAATAAGTTAAGTGAGATGATGGTGGAGGCCAAAACTATCTGTAGTTTCGAAGCTTTATATGATAGTGCTGGGAAGATGTAACTACACTTAGTTACATCTTCCCAGCACTATACTGTAACTTACACTACTCACCCTGTAACTACACTTAGGTAATTGTGGTGTATTTTTTCTAATAGGTCTTTGGTGGATATTCGTGCTCAGGGGCTTTTGTGGAATAACAGGGTTATGGTGGCCATGTATTTAGTCAAGGTCCCTGGTACTCTTCAGATCTCTGTTGCTCTGGATTGTGCTTCCTGGATGTTGGTCTCTACTGCGAGTTAGTGTCTGCTGCCTTGCCTTCTCTCTTGCAAGTCTTTCCCTTTAATTTCCCTGTGGTTATCTCGCTACAGGGAACCATCATGGGGCTTTCACCAGAAACCAAGCATTGAATGTAATGAAACTCTCCTTTCAAATATAATAGGAGTTCTATTAGAACTCCTATTAGAACATCGGGGTTCAAGTATAACCCCGTTGGCTCTTTTTCTCCCTTCCTTTGTTCCATGTTCGTCAGTTTGTTGCGGTGTTTTTCATCTCCTGAAATGAAGTGCTTGCTGATGCTGAACCATGCTTGGAGACAGTGGCAGCATTTGGTACTAATGGGTCCGAGCTAGTTTCATATGATTATTTTGATTGAATTGTTTGGGGAGTTGTTTGGCAGTTTTGTGGCTTTGAGCATTGTGAACCCAGTAGTTGTCTGTAAAGCTTCGCTGCCTTTCTAGATGCATTTCCAGTGAAATTGGGGAATGTCATTTGCTCTTTGTGCCTCTCGTCAGGTGGGCCTGGTTCGGTTTTTTGTCCCCGGTAGGCCAAACTGAACTCTTACAATTGATGGGCCTTGTAGTGTTTATCAATCTTAACGAGATAGCTACAGGGAGCCAATGGAACTCTACCAGAAAGAGTCGTTTCATTACCTATTTTTATTTGTTGCAAAAAATTTCCCAGTTTTAAATAAAATTCTTAGCAACTCCAAGTGTTTTCTTTTCAGATTTACCAGTTCATTCTGATGCAGCTTCACACAGACACTACATATATCGTTTAGACTCGCCATTTGTTTCTGTTGCACCAAAATACTGATAATTTACATGTTTCTCATACAGGCTAGCTAGTTCCTCCTAATGCATATTGACTCTAACCAACTATACCTGTTTCTTTAATAGATGTTGACACTCCATGTGTTTCTAGTATAGGATCTTTATTTATTTTTGGCACACCTTCATGCTGACCAATCTTTATAATTACCCAACAGGCTCGACTGTTCTTTCTGACACACCTTCATACTGACCACACTCAGGGTCTGACACGCACATGGCGGCTACCAATCTATACATCACCCACCAATGCAGTCCTGTTGGAACACAAGTTCAAGGTGAGATGAGAGCAGTAGGGCCTTCTGTTGCGTCTGTAGTTTAGTACTTTTGTCTAGGTTCCATGTTTTGTGGGAAATTTGAAGTTCTCTCGAATATGAACGGTATTTGACCATTCCTCAGAAAGCGACCAACAACAGTCGACTAACAACCAAGTTCCTAATTACTGCTAGGTGAACAGAGGCAACGGGTGCAAGGAGACGCGCCTAGCTGTCTCGCCCTGCCCAGGATCAGTAATTCACGAAGTCAATTTATTGTAATGGATTAAACTGGAGGAAAGCTGTGTGCAGCCAAGTGTAGTGAGATACTGTTAATGTAGGACTTGAAGGAAGCTGAACTGCATGTGATTATGATCGTGAAATAACCGAAGATGTAGAACATAACTGAAGTAGAAGTATACTTGAATGGTGGTAGAAATGACTGTGATTGCAGGATATGCAGGCGATGAGTCAATAACATGGCTGAAGTAGTTTGACCAGACCACACACTAGAAGGTGAAGGGGCGACGACATTTCGGTCTGTCCTGGACCATTCTCAAGTCAATTGTCTTGAGAATGGTCCAGGATGGACCGAGCCCCGTCGGCTCCCCGGAGCTTTACCGGCTGATATGCTAATGTCAGACTTTGGCATCAGTCATGTGTATGGAGTTCTAGGGCCTACCGGGTACCACGGCCAGAACCTGGCCCCCTCAGAGAGGCAAGGGAAGCAATGGCCTATAGAAACCCCCGTGTGGTAGGAAGCATTCTATGTCTGCCATCGACCGGGTCAAGCATCCAGAAAGGTAAGCATTCCAAAACAAACCCCTATTCTGGTGAAAATTGCTACCTAAAGCCAAATTAGTGGATAGAACTCTTCAACAGAAAACAAGGAAACTAGTATGACGTCATACGTCACCGCGCCGCTGTCTGCGCAGCTCCCCCCTCCCCGGGAGGGGGAAGGGGGAGCCCCAGACCTCCCACGCTGGCTATCCACCCATCAGTTCTTCGGCTGATGCTATAGACACTGGTTATGTGCTCCGGCTCCAGTGTTTGTTTCAGCACTGTACCTAGAGTGTGGTATCTGTTTTTTAGGTGGTGCGTGAGCCGGGAGTGATTCTCTTGTACTCGGGCTGCATGCGCCTAAGGTTCCCTTCCCAAGGTGCCCTGTAAGTACTGCCCTTGGGGCTTGGGGCTACCTTCCACAAGTTCCTTGGGTCCTGCCCCTGCTAGGCCGTTTACTGCTTGGTTTTCGGCCGCACTTTGTGTGCTCGGGTGTTCTGTCTCCCTTGTTCGCCTTAGAGTAAGGGGCAGTTTTTGCACTGGTGGGGCGCAGGGTACTGTGCAGCTTGTCTTTACCAATCATAGCGGCCGGCTCTGTTCCGCTTGGGTACGCTGTCCTCTTGCGGGATTTTCTTTTTATTTTTGTTTATCTACCTGGTGGGGGGTATGCCTTCGTTCTTGCCCCTTGTGTCCCTTGTGTTCTGAGTATTTTCTGGTGGTACCCCTGCTAGGTCCCCGTGAGTGCACACGTCCCGGGGGTTCAGCTCTTAGAAAGTTGTTTGGTAGCTTTGGGTGCCGGTTAGCAGTACCCTGCCTGGGATTACCTGAGCGCGAGTCCTCATATAGTAAACGCTCGGGACCCTGGGAACCCCCTGGGGGCGCGCGGGTCCGATGGATGTGACCCCTGAGTCCCCCCCCTCGCTTCCAGCGAGTTTGAGGGTTGCTCTCACCCTTTGTCTCTGGGTGACTCTCTGTTTTGCCTCAGTCTGCCCTCTGTGGGGTCGGGGACACCTTTGACCCGGAGTCCTGCGAGTTTGGTTGCTCGTTGTGGCTCGGTTACCCAGTTGTGCTGACAAAGCGGGTGCGGGCAGCAGGGGCGTTGCACTTAAGCCTTGGTGGTGGCAATGTTCTCGTGGTTTCCGCCCCGGGAGCCCCGGGGCTGCCCCGTTGTAGTTCGTTTTGGGACTTGGGGGTGTTGGTTGCTTCGGTTCCATCCACGCTCATTTGTCTTTCCCCTGGATCACCCTTCCTGCCTGCATCTGGTTCCTTACCGTCTGTAGGTTCGGGGCGGGGTTTTTGGTGGTGTTGAGACTCGGGCAGTCTCGGGGAATTCCCCTTCCGGGGTAGTGACGGGAGCATTTGAGCCTGTTCCTCCAGCCGTGTTGTATGAGTCTGCCAGTGGGCTCCCTTCCTTAGTGTTTTCATGGCTGCCCTGGTTTTCTGGTACGGCCGGGGCTTTGGGGGAACGGCTCGGCCTCGGGGCCTGTCGTGTAGGTTCCCGGGGCTGGGGAGGGGCTGACTTGGGGGGCCTTGGGCCCTGTTGGACCCCGTGGTTGTTTTTTTATCCCCCTCAAGGCGGGGCTTGTGGTTACGCGGAGTGGGGTCTTTCCTCCCCACTCGCCGTACGTGCTGTTGGGCGTCGGCCCCTCCCCGGGCTCGGTTCCTTGGCCTTTGAGTCGGTTGATTCCGTCCTGTGGGTGGATGTTTCCTCCCACCCTTTTTTGGGACGGTGTTTTTGTCATGTTTCCTCGTTCGATGGGGTTCTACGTGACTTCTGATCTCGGGTGCGCCTGCGCCTTTGTGTACCTTCGGGACTAGTGTTGGCTTCTGTGTTCTCGAGGGTTCGGGAAGGTTTTTCGCTACTTCCCGCATTATTGGAACGTCTGTCGGCTCCTCGTCCTTGTCGCCGTTTTGAGTTACTTGTGGCCCGGTTGGGCTACTTGTGAGCTGGTTGGGCTACTTGTAGCTCTGTTGGGCTACTTGTCGCCCTGTTGCGCTACTTGTCGCCCTGTTGGGCTACTTGTCGCCCGGTTGGGTTCCTTTTTGGGCTCTTTGCTTCTTTGGCCGGTTTTATTGTTCCTGCTTCCTCTTTTGGCTACTTTTCTAGTGCAGTAGTCCTGGTTGGCACCTTCCTGCAGAGAGGGTTGTGCAGTTCGGTCAGCATGTTATGCGCATGCGCCGTGGAGTTTGTTTTGGTCTGGGCGGTGTTTCAGTTCTGGTTTTTTTGTGCCCTTTTTGCTACGGTGCTTCGCCTCTCGTTCTTCTCCCTGGCTGCGGTATGTGGCCCCTTCGCTCCAGGGGGTGTCCTGGTTCCCAGTTGTGGGGAGGACACCGCGGTTTTCCCTGTGTCATGGGTGTGGGCCGCCTCCTTCGCCTCTCCCTGCTCTCCTGCGGGTCCGGCAGGGTCCGGCTCTGGCGTCTTCACCTGTCTGTGCTCCCAGGTTCTTCTGGGCACGGTTGAGTCATGTCAAGTTCGTGCCACCGTTCGCCAAATGAGTTTCTGCGGTCTGGCGTCTTTTGGCCGGGCGCTGGATGCGGTGTTGTTTATATACCTGTCTTTATTTAGGTATATTTTTGTATGACCGAGACCAGTGGCACACCAATGACTGTCCCTTTTTCAACCATTCCTGTCCCCCTCATGTGCATGTCCAACCCATGCTGGAGTCATTCAGGGGACCCACCTTTTTCATGTTGTGAGGTGTGGGGGTTGTAGGGTTGGTTCTGTACTCACCTGGTAAGGCTCCTGGCTGTGCTTGCAGGGTTTGAGCTCTGGCTCTTGGGTCCCGCCTATCTGGTAGAACTTGCGGGATAGCACCAGTGGAGTGCAGTGGTGCTAGTGGCACAATTGGGGAACACTGTATTACCATCAGAGGTCTGTGCTTGTTACACGACCTACTTGCGAGCATAAGCCTTCTTGCTGGTTCGTCCGTGGACTTCCAGGGCACACTAGCCTGTTTTCATATAGCAATTCCGGCCCATCCTGGTTGTGGGGGTATGTGGGCTGGCAAGCCGCTCCTAGCAGCTGCCTGGTGGGCCACCCTCTGGTCGGTCTAGCCTGGCCTTGGGCCGGGCTTGGGGTGTAAAAGAGCTCCCAGTACCCCATCCAGCAGGTATCGAGCGGGGTTTCTCCGCCGTCGTTCGCCTGGTGCAGGTTTCTGGGCCTGCTGGGTTTTGTCGTGTCTCCGTTGGCCCTGTCTGGGGTCTGCCTGCTTCGTTTCTCTGCCTTTGCAGAAGGGAGTTGCTATTTACATGTTGCATGTTGCAGTGGTGCCTGTTGCTGCTGCTGCACGTGTGCATTGGTACCATGTTTCACGGTGGCGTGTCCTTGTTCCTGTGTCCGGTTGTGGAGTGGCACTTTGCTGCTGTTTTGTGCCTGGGGATTGCGTGGGGATTTTCTGTCCCTGCCTGATTGTCCACCCCTGGTTGTTTTCCTGGGGTTTTTGTGCTTCTGCTCTTTCTTCCTGCCTCCTCTGCAGCAGGGGTGTTCTGCGTGTGTTCTTGGGCGTTTTTCAGCCTGTGTCCTGTGATGTGCTTCTTTGTCTCGGTCTATTGCAGTTGTTCGTACCCCTTGGTTCGGGTACTGTTCTAGCGGCGACCCTTCCGCCTTCTTTGGTTTCCTAGCTTGCCCTGCCGGTTCGTTTTTTTGGGGGGGGTCTTGCGATGTCTCGCGTCGGACCCGTCGTTTCTGAACTCCTGGCGGGCTTGCATGCTTTGGGGAGCTTTTCTGTTCGGCAGACGTTCCATCTCCTTGTGCTGCCTGGGTTTCGGTGGTCGCGCCCGAGATCTTCCCACGGGTCCGCCTTTTCCTGGGCTCGGAGGGGCCTTGTCGGGGCTGCTTATGTTCTGTCTCGCGGTCTCGCCTCCGGTTGGTGGTCGGGTGGCTTCGTGGTAGGTGTCCCACCTGCGTGCTTCTCTTGGCGGCAGTATGGGGTATTTTGGCGGTCCTTCCTTTTCCTGTCCCTTCTTAGGTGGTTACTCTTGCTAGCTTGGTTTTCTGGTGGGGGTTGGGGGCCGTCGTCTTGCCACATACTGTCGCCTCTTTTCGTGCGGCGCTGGCGGAGCCGCTTCAGCTTGCTTTCGGTCTTGGTGTTGCTTCTGCACCGTTGGTAATCTGTCTTGTGCGTCGTTTCACCTCCGGCCTGTTCGTACGCCGCTTGCACCATCCTGGTCTCTGGTCAGCGTGCTCTGTCTTCTCCTCGGTTGGTAGTGCCCCTTCGGTTCCGGTGTGTTTTTTCGTCGGCTCTTTCCTTTTGGCCTCTGCCTCTGGGGGTCGAATCGCTGAGTTTTCTTGCTCCTTCGGTTTTAGCGTTTTGGTTGTTCGGCGGCAGCAGTCTCCATCTTTTCTGGCGCGGGGTGGGGCTGCTGCGTTCTGGAGGGGTCCAGTGTTTGTTGGTGCTTCGTTGGTCGGGCCGGGGGTGTGTCGTGTTTTGTGTTCAGTGGCGGCCCTCCGCTGTTGTTTGCGTGCCACGGCGTTTGGGTCCGGAGCACGTTTTGCGTTGATCCGGTTCTGTTCTTCCCGGTTTGCGGGTGATGGTGTCCCGGGTGGTCAGCCGTGTTCTTGCGGCTAAGCTGTCTGTGTTCTTCCCTCATGTCTGTGGCGTTCGTGGCTTTGCTGCTCTCGCTGCCGTCTGGGCAATGTGGCCTTGCGGTCTTTCGGGCATGGATTTTTTGGTGTTCGTGCGGGGGCCTTGCTGCTCGTTGTTCTCGTGTTGTTCCCGGGACTTTTCGGGGCTGTGGCGCCTTGGGTTGGCGTTTGCTGCCGGTTGTCTTGCTTCCGTGAGGGGTGCGTAGTGTCCACCTCCCGGTTCTGTCCCTTTGACCTTCCTCTGTGGGTAGTTAGCTCCGGGAAGCCGACGGGGCTCCCCCCAGAAAACCAACGTTGAATGTAATGAAACTCCATTTTCTGGGTGAGACCCGGAGGCTCCCCGGCAACCCTCCCTCCCTCCGGTCGGCTGTTTTTCGCGTGTTTTGACATCCAGCCTCAGAACTGATGGGTGGATAGCCGGCGTGGGAAGTCTGGGGCTCCCCCTTCCCCCTCCCGGGGAGGGGGGAGCTGCGCAGACAGCGGCGCGGTGACGTATGACGTCATACTAGTTTACTTGTTTTCTGTTGAAGAGTTCTATCCACTAGTTCGGCTTTAGGTAGCAATTTTCACCAGAATAGGAGGTTTGTTTTGGAATGCTTACCTTTCTGGATGCTTGACCCGGTCGATGGCAGACATAGAATGCTTCCTACCACACGGGGGTTTCTATAGGCCATTGCTCCCCTTGCCTCTCTGAGGGGGCCAGGTTCTGGCTGTGGTCCCCGGTAGGCCCTAGAACTCCATACACATGACTGATGCCAAAGTCTGACATTAGCATATCAGCCGGTAAAGGTCCGGGAAGCCTCCGGGTCTCACCCAGAAAATGGCGTTTCAATACATTCAACGCTGGTTTTTTGAAGCTGGCTCAATGTTGAAACTCTAGTTTTAGAGATAATTGAAGTTGAAGTTATCGTCAATGTATAAGGTAGTTCTAATTCATTAATTTACTTCTATGTTTTAATAAACATTGTTTGACATTCGTACTTGAATATGTGAAAGTTATAGGTCAATATGTGCTGAAATGAAGTCAAGAAAAAATAACCCCCCAAAAAACTAAATATAGGGATAATTATAATAATTATAATGATTTAAGGGATATATTTAGAATATACTTTATATAAGTCAAAAAGCCCTAATCTGGTCCCTAATCACCAAAACAATGTAAAGAAACAAGGAAAATTGAGTTTGAAATCTGTGAAAAAATCACCCCCAAAAAAATTCAGTCCCAAGTTCTGCCAGTTATGACTGATTTATTTGTTGACCAATTTAATTCATTCTTTTTTTTTTTTTTTTTTTTTTTTTTGAGATATATACAAGAGTTGTTACATTCTTGTAGAGCCACTAGTACGCGTAGCGTTTCGGGCAAGTCCTTAATCCTATGGTCCCTGGAATACGATCCCCTGCCGCGAAGAATCGTTTTTTCATCCAAGTACACATTTTACTGTTGCGTTAAACAGAGGCTACAGTTAAGGAATTGCGCCCAGTAAATCCTCCCCGGCCAGGATACGAACCCATGACATAGCGCTCGCGGAACGCCAGGCGAGTGTCTTACCACTACACCACGGAGACTCTTAACATAGTTATGGACATGTATGCATTCTCCTGGTTGTAGAGGTTATAAACAAATCAGATGATAGACAAAGAAGAAAAAAAAGAAAAAAAAATTCCCCAAAAATTTTTTTGTGGACATTGGTGAAAGTAACAGGTATTACTATTGAACAATATATTTGTATGATATATAACAAAATAAAGTATAATAACATACTTATTCATTATTATTTGTGTTATTATGTATTATTCAGCAATGCTATAAAAGCACCAACTGCATATCCACTTTTTGGGCACTTTTAATTATTTTCTTCTTTGTGCATAGGACAGGTGCTTGCATTTCCTTATTACTGCATTATCCCTCAGTTCTAGTTAATAAGAGCTGTTCTCCTTGTCAATAAAAGACTCTTCTTTTAAAAAAAATGGTCTAAAATCCATTTCTGAAAATATTGGGATGAAACTTTCACGACGCTGAAGCCAATAAGTTGGAGATTTGTTTAACATTTAATATTAATTTTCACAAAATTCAAATATATTTTCACCCAGCCCAAGCTAATACCCACAGTTACATCCCAGGCTGTAGCAGTGTAAGGGTTAATAAATCAGGCTGCCTCCTACACATGTATTTTATGATTTTTAAACATGATCTCTTTACCAGTCTCGTTTTAGGTTTTATTTCAAGTGAGCTTGTTAAGTTGATTGTTAGGGACCATTTTAATTAACCTTGTATATTTTACTGAGTTTACTTATTGCTTTAATTTTTATCTTATATAAGTGATCTAAATATTATTATGCCAGAGAATTTTTGTATGCTGATCAGTTATTCACGTTACCTTACCAACAGTTGCCGAAGAGCATAATGCGGGAGCTGGAAGTTGGGGAGACTTACTTAATTCCTGTGGACAAAGGCGGCAATTACCCCATCAGTGTTACTGTCCTGGATGCCAACCATGTACCAGGGGCAGTAATGTTCCTCTTCCAAGGTAACTTAATCTAACTCTACTTTGCATATGCTTGGCAGTGATTTTTCCTAATATATTTGTCAAAGCTTTACATTGTAGATCTCAAAATCTTTACTTTAACTCCTTGCAGACACATATTGTAGGGAAAAGTTGCCAGTATCCTGGAACAAAGATTAGGGAAAGGGTAGGTCCATTAACCTCCGTGCTGCGCCGAGTTTATTGTGAAATTCCCCCGGTGCGCATGAAATAGTGTTCCCAAAAAATTCTTTTTTCTTTGTAAAATGATAAATTCCCTTCCCTGAACATGTCTATGTAAAAAAAAAAAAAATCCACTTACTTTGGCTGTGGGGACATGGACAAGGTGCGCTGTGACGTCATCAGGGCCTGGTCGCCTGTGCGTGAATTGCCCAGCTTCGGTAGCGCGGGCCATTCAAGCACCGGGTGTTGCCACAAATATACTGTCTCCACTCAATCATCCGAACTATATGGGAAGGACCCCCAGCTGGATTATCACATTTTTCGGATAATGGTACTTTTTCACCTACGAGTCCAAAACTAACCACTTCCAACTAGTATTTTTGTACTACAAACAACATAATTTGAATTGCCTTGCCACATATAATTATTAAATATTCTACTAGAAACCTCAACTTTCCTTGTTGGTGTTCGTCTTCTTGATTGATGCCACACATCTTGAAGTTAAGAATTCTTAACAATTTACGTAACCTATACTAACACAACACTAAAATTAACACTTAAAATTACTGTACAGTTCATTAAGCAAAGTTAATTTTGACTGCCAGCTGCTGAATCCTCACTGGTTGAAGGCATTTGGATTGCCTGTGAGGCCTCACTTGTTGAAGCGCTTGCATGCCCTCACTTGTTGAAGGCGCTTGGCTTGCCTGTGACGCCTCACTTGTTAAAGGCGCTTGCTTGCGCCTCACTTCCCTGTGAAGCCTCACTTGTTGAAGGCATTTGGCTTGCCTGTGATGCCTCACTTGTTGAAGGCGCTTGGCTGCCTGTGACGCCTCACTGGTTGAGCAACACATAACTTGTCTAGGACAACCTTCTTCCTCTTAACACCTCCAGAACGATTGATGCTGCTACCAGACATAGTCTTGGCCAAAAATGTTCAAAGTTACTATGAAAATAAAAAAGTTATTTAAAAAAATATTTCACTAATGGTGCAGCACTGTGTATAACACGAGGGATAGACGCACATGGGTTGGCCAGTGTTGGACGGGTCCACTTGGGGTGGGGCAGCTATAGCACGTTACGTAGGCCGCCAGGAGGAAAAAACTCACAATATTTTTGAAGGAAACTTCAGCCTGTGCACATTGCTTTTAGGAAACTTATTTATTTGTTATTACATAATTACTAGTACTTATTTCATTTGTTTTTGGCTATGATTAATTGTTCTAAAATTAAGGGCAATTCCTGTACCCAGGTGGTCCCTCCCGACACCACCCACCCACCCCACCCCCTCTTCCACCCTGCGTCTAGAGCCACAGACGGGATTAATACGGTATGGCCGAATTTTCATCCGGCCAAACCAGCTTTTATCCGGTTCCTGTGGCCATTTTGGCCGGATATTGTAATAACTTTATCCGATCATGATTTTGGCCGTATAAGGGCATTTTCCGGATGCTCGAATCCCGGATAATCGCGGGGTTACAGTATTTTCAATTATTTGTTTTATGTATTTCCAATGCGGTTTTATTTGTTTTTTATCGTATATGATGCATATTTGTGCCCTTTACAATATGTATACAGTAGAACATTCATAATATTCCATGAAACTGTGATACATGTGTCAGTAATGTGTCCACAATAAATGTTTATTGTCGCAATATTACCTATTAAAAATTCACTAAAATTACACTATGTGCAGTTTCACACACTATTTACACAGTAACACACTGTATTACACACTCAGTACTTCGGATGTGAGTAATAATCAATGAAGTAGCCCATGGTACACAGCGCAACTTCGCTCTCAGTGCACCAAGTACAGATAAATTTTCGCTTCCTGTTTCGTCATTCTGTGTGCTTGCAAATAACACACTCACGTACACCCTTGGCTTTAGTATTTGTAGGTTGTATGTAGCCAGCTTGTAAAGCATAAGGTAGTATTGAAAAGATTATAGGAAGAGATCAATTTGTAAGGTAGTCTTGAAAAGATCGCTTTGTATGGTCCCACACAGGAAGAGATTCAGCTTACCTCAAGAGTGTCCGTCAGTCAGAAAGAGATTCAGCTAGCCTCAAAGAGTGTCCACCAGTTAGGAAGAGATTCAGGTATTCTTGAAAATATCTATGGAAAACACCACCATGGAAGCCGCTAACACTGTTCATCTATGCTATTTGTATCAGATGCATCATCACTGAACGCAGAAAATGAATCATCTATGTATCATCTAAATAAATTGTAGATAGCATAGGATTGTAAGGGTAACACTCAGAGCTACAGCTGGATACTCTCGCTGTATCGTCCTCATAGGTGTTGTATCATTTGCATCCGACCATTGTGTTAGGTCCTTATTGCACCTAGCTTCACCAATATTATGACCCTTATGTTCTTCAAACAATAAGGTTTGAATTTCACCGACAGAGCGTTATCTTTCAACACTGTGTCGGACAGGTGTTTGGGAGCCAGAGGTGTATGCACCACCCATGGTTGCTCATTCAGTACTAACCCAGCCAGCAGCCCTAGGGCATTCTGGGAATTTTTTTCCCAGATGGCTGCCTCTCACTGGAGGTCCTAAGAGTCCATTTCGTACACAACCAACCTCATACACATTTAGAATTAGTACCGAAAAATCAAAAAGAGTTTTCTCAGTTGGCGCAGTTTCCCGCTGACCGAGAATACTCAGTTGGTGCAGTTAAGTGGTTAAAAACTGAAACAGGTCAGATAACTGATAGCGACGAAGAGATGAGAGGTATTTTTAATAAAATATTTTATCTCTGTATTTACTATAGAGGAACTTAACATTATTACTTTTCTGGTTCTTCCCTTTTGTCTGAATCTGGCTCCTTATGTTTTTACCAGGTTGGTTTGAGTTGTGGTGCATCGTCTTCACTTGTTGGGGGTGTGTGTTTTCGTCTAACTCGACGACTGGCTAATGTAGATTCCCAGTCAGTTGATGCGTCTGCTAACCAGGGATCTGGTTCTTTCTCAGCTTGCCAGGGTTCTAGTTCCCAGTGAACCAATGGAAATCCCAGTTGGTTCTGTCCCAAGTTGGGACTTGGCTGGGCTATGTCTGGGATTCATTTGTCATAGTTTTCCTCCGGCGCCTTTACTCCGGCTGCAGCCCTGCCATCTGTTGGTACTGGGGTACTCAAGCGATTGTGCAGGTATCTGAACTTTGCCTGTGTGGTTTTTCCACTAGGTAGGGTGTGGCTCTGGAGGTTGTTCTAGTTCCTCCAGTGCCATCTTTTATTGCCTATGCTGTGACCACTGAGTGTGGATTCCAAAGATGTCTTTACGGATGCCTCAGCTCTAGGCGGGAGCTATGTGATCAGCGCTCAGCAGGCCTCTCAAGGTCACTGGTTTCCTTCCCTTCTCTGAGCTTTCCATACAATGCAGGAGTTTGCGGCCATGTGGCATTTGCTGTGGAGAATTTAGGTTCCTCAGGGCTCTGAGCTCTGGCTCTATTCGGACTGTGCTTTAATAGTTCATTGTCTGAATTGTGAGGCTCTCTTTGGTCTGTTACCCTTTTGAGCTCAACAATGCAAGTAGCTCTTCTGTTGGGTTCTCAAGGTTTGTTTCTCTGTGCAGTTCATGCTTGGGGAGTGTCCAACGCTATCATAGATGGTCTGTCTCAGTTCCTTCCTTTTCTTCTTTCCTTTGGCTGTGTGAAACATTCGGATGTCCTGATGTGCTCCTCTTCACATCTGCATGGAATTGGCATCTTCCTCTTTATGTGGCTCTTATTTCCCAATCAGGATGCTCTCATGATAGAAACCTTTCAGCTGCACTGGTTCCAAGTGAGGGTTCCTTTATCTCTTTTCCCCCATCCAGCTGATGCTCCAGGCCCTGGCCACATTGGAGTCCTATCATAGAAAGGTGGCCCTTCAGGCTCATTGGTGGCCAGCTTAGTCTTGGTTTCTGGCACCACTTCCTTGGTTTCTGTATGTGGAAATTTGTCCACGGTTCTGTCTCTTTCCATAAGCTAAACCCAGTGACATATTTTACTGATTCAACCTTCTCTTCTGCCCTTCATAACTGGACTGCTTGATGCATCTCTATTGTCATCTTTACTGCAAGCAGGTGGCTTTTTTGTTGGTGTCCCACCTGTATTCTTTATCTAGGTGGCAGTATGAAATTTCATGATGGTCCTTTCACCACTTCCTTTCTCTTCATCATTGTTTTTCAGTGCCAAGTGGATAATGTTCTCCTTTCTTTCTTTCTTGACTTTTTCTTGATCAGTATCTTATGCCAACTACTGTCATCTCGTATTGGTCAGCGCTGGCAGAGCTGCTGCAGCTTGCGTTCGGCGTTGGTACTAACTCGGTGCAGTTTCGCAGGCTGTCTTGCTCGTTATTTAACCTCTATCCTACTCGTGTACCATTTGAGCCTGCTAGGTCCTGGGGGACTGTTCTTTCTTTTTTGTCTCCTCTGTTTATGGGATACTATTTCTAAGGATCTTTTTCTTGATAGTCTTTGCCTCTGGTTGGGTTGGGAGCTTCATGCTTTTCTCCAGAAACAGGGTACAGTGGGCCCTTGATTTATGATGGTAATCCGTTCACAGAGACCGATCGTAAGTCGAAATATCGTAAGTCGAAGTGATTTTTCCCATGAGAAATAAAGGGAATTGAATTAATCCGTTTCCCACCCTCCAAAATATTAACTTACAAATACATTTTATACTGAATACAATTTTTTTCTCTAACTACAATACAGTACATCTGTTTATCTTACCTTTATGGAGGACTCTTGATGGCGTATGGAAGATGGTGAGGAGGGGGAGGAGAGGTGTTACTGTTTGGAAGGGGAGTCCCCTTCCATTATAACATCAGGCAGTGAGGACTTCTCTGGAGTACACACACTGGCACATTTTGCCTGCATACCACTAGGACCTGCTTCTGGCTCACTGTTTGATTTTCTCGCTAGAAATCGTTCCATTGAAGATTGTTTTTCCCTTCTTTCCAACACTTGTCTGTAGTGAGGCAACACATTGTCATTAAAAAGATCAATGCAACGGGCTGTTACAGCTTTATCTGGGTGATTCTTTTCAGCAAAACTTTGCAGTCCTTCCCATACTGCACACATTTTCTTAATTAATGAGGAAGGGACATCCTCTGATGCCGCCGCCTCCTTCTCTGAAGGAGAAGAGCCTAGCTACTGCCTAGCTAGTTCAACAATGCTAGTACCATTTTCATGTTTACACATGACCTCTTATTTTTCCTCTATTGTCATTCTTACATGTCTTTTCATATGTTGAACCTTACCACTGACTTTCTTGGGACCCATGGCATGATATATAATAATCAGTTTTATGTTCAAAAAGCAAAAAATCACCACAAAAACGGAAATTTTTATAGGCGTGATTTTCACTAAGCGGGCAGCTCTAGTAAACTGAGGCAGGTCGGCTCGCGTGACCAGGAACCACACGCTCGGTCGACCCAAACGTGTACCAACAAATATCGTTAGTCGACGACACTGTCTTAAGTCGAGTCGCATTTTTTTATCAAATTTACATTGTAACTCAAAATTATCGTAAGTCGAGACAATCGTAAGTCGAGGTGCCACTGTATTTGTTCTTTTGGCCCTGGTGGGTGTTTTGTTCGCTTGCAGCCGGCTCCTCCTTTTCCGGCAAAGAACAAGTAGGTTGGTTTCCAGAGATGTTCTCATGTTATTGTAGCTTAGTTGGTTTGGCTAGATGGTGCATCATATATTGTCCAGTGGGGACTCTCTGCTATTATGTTCATGCTTCCAATTCTCCCATGGTGGACACTTTGTTAGTGGATCTGGTGTTCCTGGTTAGCTGTTCGAAGGCTCATGTTTTTGAGGTCCTCTGCAGCGTCATTAAGTTTAGCCAGCCTGTGGTCTACCTGCATGACCATAATATTTGAAAGTACACTGCCTTGGCCTTTGCCTTATAGATGTCTTTGTAAATATATCTTACGTTGATATTTGGGCTCTGGGATTTTGGCAGTCTAAAAAGTCTCAGTCCATGTCGTCCGCAGGTTAATTAAGGCTAGCCAGCCTGCAGTCTTTTCCCGTGCCCATGACGTCCGCAAGTTCGCGGCTCTTGCCGCCATCTTTGGAAATATGTCCTGGGCTGACATTTGGGCGTGGGAATTTTAGAGGTCGAACAGGGTCTTGGCTGCTCGTTACCTTGTAAACATTCCTGGGCCCAGTCGGGCTTGTGTCGCTTTGGGTCGGCGGATGCAGCCAGTTGTCTCGACTTTGCGTTGAGGAGTGAGCGGCAACCGCCTCCCGGGTAAGTCCCTATTCTCTTTCCTCAGTGGGTAGTTAGCTCCGGGGAGCCGTAGGGGCTCCCTCCAGAAAACCAGCATTGAATGTAATGAAACGCCATTTTCTGGGTGAGTTCCGGAGGCTCCCTGGCATCCCTCCCTCCCTCCAGTCGGCGGTTTTTCGCGTGTTTTGAAATCCAGCCTCAGATCTGGGGTGTAGGACGCCGGCGTGGTGCGTCTGGGGCTACCCCTTCCTCCTCCAGGGAAGAGGGGAGCTGCGCAGACAGCGGCGCGATGATGGGTGACGTCATACAAGTTTGCTCGTTTTCGTTTGGGGAGTTCTATCCACTCGTTCGGTCTTTGGTTGCAATCTTCTCCAGAATAGGGGTTTGTTTTGGCACGCCTACCTTTCTGGGTGCCTAACCCAGTCGATGGCAGACATAGAATGCTTCCAATCACACGGGGGTTCTATAGGCCATTGCTCCCCTTGCCTCTCTAGAGGGGGCCAGGTTCTGGTTCGTGGTCCCCGGTAGGCCCACAAGAACTCCATACACATGACTGATGCCAAAGTCTGACATTAGCATATCAGCCTAGTAAGCTCCGGGGAGCCTCCGGAACTCACCCAGAAAATGGCGTTTCATTACATTCAACGCTGGTTTTTTACATCACATTGTTTCACTATGAATGATCTCTTGAATGATCGTCATCCTCACAACTATTTTCTTAGATTGAACTTTACCACTGACTTTCTTGGAACCCATGGCGTGATATATAATAAGAACGTTTATGTTCAGAAACCAAAAAAGCATATAAACAATGAAATTCTTCACCAAGAATTCAAGCGCAGTCGTCACTAGGCAGGAGACACTGATTAACTAAAGCACGCCACGTGCTCGGTTGGCCCATATGTATATCAACAAACTCGAGCACCGAGACAAACCTCGAATACCGAGTCAAATTTTTTTTAAGAAATTGAGCTCGAGAACCAAAAAATTTGAAAAGAGGGGTATTTGAAAATCGAGGTTTCACTGTATATTAAAAGGGTCCCTTCCTTACAATGTGCGTTATATGTCACCCACTTTGCATGTGCCTAGTGTTTACACTTTACTGTGGCTCTTAACACTATCGCGCACCCCATGAGCACGCCACAGACTTTGAAGTCATGGCCTCAATGGTGCGGGCGAGCGTGCGGTGACGCCTAAATGTGTATACTCGTCTCAGTTTTCTCACCTTAATTCTGGTGCTACATCGTTTGTTTTGGTATCATTGTGTTCGCAATTAAATTCCCTACAGGTGTGTATAAATATAATGTCCAAAAGCATGGCGTGACTCCCAACAGCAAAGCCTAAAGTCGGCAAAAGTTAGCCGTGAGCGCACAAAATCAGTAAAATGTGTATATGCGTTCCATTTTTCTCACCTTAATTCTCGTGCTACGTTGCTCGGTTTGATATCATTGTGTTCGCAATTAAATTCCCTACAGATGTGTATGAATATAATGTACAAAAGCCTGGAGTGCCTCCCCGCAGAAAAACCTAAAGTTATCCATGAACGAGCACCAATTTGTATACTGCAACCTAATGTGTATACTCGTTCAGTTTGATTACATCAATTTTCGTGTTACTTCTCTCATTTTGGTATCAAATTATTTGCAATAAAAAGGTGCGTATTTTAAAACTAGTCCCATAATAATAGAGCAATAACTGGAATTTTAACAAATATTTTAATTCTGGAAGCTCATCATCACAAAATTATTATATTTTTCCAGTGTTCTGACATAAATTTTTGTGTTACATCTTTCATTTTGGTATCAAATTGTTCGCGACGTAAAGGCGCGCATTTTAAAACTAGTCCCAACATAATAGCACAATAAATAGAATTTTAACAAATATTTTAAAATTTTGACCAAAAACCTATTTATAATCATATAAGTGTTCGGACATCAAGTTTCATGTTACATCTTTCATTTTGGTATCAAATTGTGCGGATTCTAAAGGCGCTCATTTTGATACTATCCCGAGGTCGACTGGATAAAAAGTGAATTTTATACAATTATTTTTGTAGTGGACGCAAGTCCGGTCCTAAGTTAGGACTCAGGAGAAAAATAATGACGAGAGTCCGGTCCAAAGTGACCGATAGTGTTAAGTCAGGGCATTCTTGGCTGGTGGCTGCTGTGTTTTTCTGAGGCTTGGTTATTGCCAGATTATAGCATTGGGAAGTTCCTGAGGGGACCCTCCTCCCCCAAAAAAATCTCCTTAAGATTACTATTATGTTCATTGCTGATACAAATTTCAAACATACAAGTTTTACTGATGTGGCTTAATTTTTCTTAATGAATCCATCCAATTTTTCAGGGTACTTTGGCAATATTCTGTACTGTGGTGACATGCGATGGTATCCAGAGCTCTTAGATCACCAGGTGTTGAGGAACGTGGTGGAGCAGAATGCACTGGACATACTCTACCTCGATAACACATTCTCTGCACCTTACTGTGACTTCCCATCCAGAGAAGATGCCAAGCAAGAGCTTTTTAAAATTATTGAGTATGTTGTGCATTTTTAATTCTTGTTCATCAGTGTTCAATTTGTAAAAGCTAATTTTTATTTTGTTCAGCTTTAATGGTATAATTTTTACTACTGCAGAAATACCTGATCAACCAGGCTGTTATTCGTACGTCAAGCTGCGAGCAGCTGCGTCCAACAGCCTGGTTGATTAGTCCATCAACCTGGAAGCCTGGTTAGAGACTGGGCAGCGGGGACCTTGAGCCCTGGAATCATCGCAAGGTAATTGTAATGTAAGGTGTGCCTGGTCTTCCAGCCAGTCTGTATTTGGGTTTGTGCCACCATTTGCATGCAAGTCTCCCTCAGTGGGGGAATATTGCACTTTCCCTCCAAACTTGATGCTGTATTCTATGGCTCCTCTGGATATTCCTTTGCTTTGGCATTTGCTGATTGCCTCTCTCGCTGTCTCTGCCACTCAGTCTGTTGGGTCCATAGGTGTTTCCATACTCGTGTGGGCAATATGTTGTATTGGACCTCTGTGTTGGGGTTGCATCTTGGGCTCTTCCTGGTCATCCTCTTCAGAGTTGTGTCATTGTCCAGTGGTTTTTCTGGGTTTGCCCTCCATTATTGGGGTCACTGGTGTTAGCTGCCTGGATAACACTACACATAAGCCACACCATGCCCTAGTAAGTCAGAATATCACACAAATTTGGTCCACTTAACACTTTCGTTCCTTAGGGACAGAGATGACGTCCACAAATTACTCTGCAGACGTTCCTTAGGGACGTAGTTGATGTCCAAAATTAAAATATTTGTAAAAAATCCATATTTTATGCGATCATTAGGGGACGTGTTTTAACCTTTAACCACCATGCTGCACGGAGTTTATTGTGAATTTCCCCCGGTGCACATGAAATAAAGTGTTCACAAAAAATTATTTTTTCTTTGTAAAATGATAAATTTCTTTCCCTGAACATGTCTATGTGAAAATAAATACGAAATTCCACTTACTTTGGCTGTGGGGATGTGGACAAGGTGCACTGTGATGTCTTCAGGGCCTGGTCTTCCCTTGCATGAATTGCTCAGACACAGTCGCTCTGGCAATTTAAGCACCGGGTGTTGCCACAAATATATTTTCAATTATTTGTTCTATGTATTTCCAATGTGGTTTTATTTGTTTTTTTATTGTATATGATGCATATTTGTGTCCTTTGCAGTATGTATACAGTAAAATGTTCATAATGTTCCATGGAACTGTGATACATGTGTCAGTAATGTGTCCACAATAAATGTTTATTGTCGCAATATTACGTGTTAAAAATTCACTAAAATTACAATATGTACAGTTTCACACTATTTACACAGTAACACTTTGTATTATACACACAGTACTTCGGAAGTGAGTAATAATCAATGAAGTAGAGCATGGTGCACAGCGTGACTTTGTTCTCGTTGCACCAGGTACAGATAAATTTTCGCTTCCTGTTTCTTCATTCTGTGTGCTTGCAAATAACACACTCACGTACACCCTTGGCTTTAGTACTTGTATTACACACAGAAATCACAATAATGTGATGCATCACTCATTTGTGTTTGGTACTTGTAGGTTGTATGTAGCCAAGCTTGTAAAGCATAAGGTAGTATTGAAAAGATTATAGGAAAAGATCAATTTGTAAGGTAGTCTTGAAAAGATTGCTTTGTATGACCCCACACAGGAAGAGATTCAGCTTGCCTCAAAGAGCGTTTGTCAGTCAGAGAGAGATTCACCTAGCCTCAAAGAGTGTTCGTCAGTCAGGAAGAGTTTCAGGTATTCTTGAAAATATCTATGGAAAACTTCACCCTGGATTCTGCTAATACTTTTCATCTATGCTACTTGTATCAGATGCATCATCACTGAACGCAGAAAACGATTCATCTATGTATCATCTATGTATCATCTAAATAAATTGGAGATAGCATAGGATTGCAAGGGTGACGCTCAGAGCTACAACTGGATACTCTTGTTGTATCGTCCTCATAAGTGCTGTATCACTTGCATCTGACCTTTGTGTTAGGTCCTTATTGCGCCTAGCTTCACCAATATTATAACCCTTATGTTCTTCAAACAATAAGGTTTGAATTTCACCGACAGAGCATTATCTTTCAACACTGCGTCGGACAGGTGTTTGGGAGCCAGAGGCGTGTGCGCCACCCATGGTTGCTCATTCAGTACTAACCCAGCCAGCAGCCCTAGGGCATTCTGGGAATTTTTCTCAAGATAGCTGCCTCTCACTGGAGGTCCTAAGAGTCCATTTCGTACACAACCAACCTCGCACACCTTGAGAGTGGGTACGAAAAAATCTATATGAGTTTTCTCAGTTGACGCAGTTTCCCACCGGCCGAGAATACTCTGTTGGCGCAGTTTAGTGGTTAATTTGGATAAACAAGCATTTATTTATTTATTTATTTATTTATTTATTTATTTATTTATTTATTTATATACAAGAAGGTACATTGGGTTTGTGAGAATACATAGCATAGTACAGTAATTGCACTCTTGTAAAGCCACTAGTACGCGCAGCGTTTCGGGCAGACGTTTCGGGCATTTAGCAGGTGAAAGCATTTCAGAGGCCATCATTTGTGAAAAAGCAAGGCTATTGCATGAAGATCTTATAAAGAAAACCCCCTTGGAATGAGTGATGCAGATAAGAAAGAGTTTAACCCTTTAGCTGCGCACGACATCATATGATGTGTTGAGCGACTTGCAGTAACTTGCGCTCGACATCGTATGATGTTTTGGAGTACTACGCAAGATTTAAACAGCCCACGGATACACGGGGTTCACCACACCTTCATCAGGGCTCTTGTAAACAGACACCATTTTTTTTTTTAAATCGTGGGCCAAATTCCCAGGTGTGAGGGGCCTCAGTATTGAGTAAACCACCAAGCCTGACACACGCAGCATGAGCTCACAGCACTGCTGTTCAGCTTGTGACCACAGCATCGCCTAAAAATGCCGTAATATACATGTTCTTGCTATTATTTAGCGATGATATTATTACAGAAGATCCCTGACTGATAAAACTGACCAGGGTTCTGATAATAGCAGGATTGTGGTGATATTTAGCGCTGTGCTCCATGGAGGGAGGAGTAATGCTATGGAAGGGAGGGTGGTAGCGTTGCCTTCTGACTGTGTGTAATTACCTAAGTGTAGTTACAGGATGAGAGCTATGCTCGTGGTGTCCCGTCTTCCCAGCACTCTTTGTCATATAACGCTTTGAAACTACTGACGGTCTTGGCCTCCACCACCTTCTCACTTAACTTGTTCCAACCGTCTACCACTCTATTTGCGAAGGTGAATTTTCTTATATTTCTTCGGCATCTGTGTTTAGCTAGTTTAAATCTATGACCTCTTGTTCTTGAAGTTCCAGGTCTCAGGAAGTCTTCCCTGTCGATTTTATCAATTCCTGTTACTATTTTGTACGTAGTGATCATATCACCTCTTTTTCTTCTGTCTTCTAGTTTTGGCATATTTAATGCTTCTAACCTCTCCTCGTAGCTCTTGCCCTTCAGTTCTGGGAGCCACTTAGTAGCATGTCTTTGCACCTTTTCCAGTTTGTTGATGTGCTTCTTAAGATATGGGCACCACACAACAGCTGCATATTCTAGCTTTGGCCTAACAAAAGTCATGAACAATTTCTTTAGTATATCGCCACCCATGTAATTAAATGCAATTCTGAAGTTAGAAAGCATAGCATAGGCTCCTTGCACAATATTCTTTATGTGGTCCTCAGGTGATAGATTTCTATCTAGAACCACCCCTAGATCTCTTTCTTTATCAGAATTCTTTAAAGATTTCTCACATAATATATAGGTTGTGTGGGGTCTATGTTCTCCTATTCCACATTCCATAACATGACATTTATTAACATTAAATTCCATTTGCCAAGTGGTGCTGTGTATACTTATTTTGTCCAGGTCTTCTTGAAGGGCATGACAATCATCTAAATTTCTTATCCTTCCTATTATCTTAGCATCATCAGCAAACATGTTCATATAATTCTGTATACAAACTGGTAGATCATTTATGTAGACAATAAACATCACTGGTGCAAGAACTGAACCCTGTGGTACTCCACTTGTGACATTTCTCCATTCCGATACATTGCCTCTGATTTCTGCCCTCATTTTTCTATCAGTCAGAAAATTTTTCATCCATGATAGAAGCTTACCTGTCACCCCTCCAATATTTTCCAGTTTCCAGAACAACCTCTTATGTGGAACTCTGTCGAAAGCCTTTTTTAGGTCCAGATAGATGCAGTCAACCCAACCATCTTTTTCCTGTAATATCTCTGTGGCTCGATCATAGAAACTGAGTAAATTTGATACACAGGATCTTCCAGATCGAAAACCATACTGTCTGTCTGATATTATATCATTTCTCTCCAGGTGTTCTACCCATCTAGTTTTGATTAGTTTTTCCAATACTTTCACTATTACACTTGTCAATGATACAGGTCTATAATTGAGGGGGTCTTCCGTGCTGCCACTTTTGTCGATTGGAACTATGTTAGCCTGTTTCCACACGTCTGCTACGATTCCTGTACACAGGGATGCCTGAAAGATCAGGTGAAGTGGAATGCTGAGCTCAGATGCACATTCTCTCAGAACCCATGGTGAAACTCCATCTGGGCCAGCTGCTTTGTTCTTACCGAGCTCCTTTAGCATATTTTCCACTTCATCTCTAGACACCTCTATCCGCTCTATGTGTGGTGTGTGTTTTCTGTGGGTGCGAGAGCCAGGTGTTATCTTCGGTACTCGGGCTGTATGCGCCTAGGGCTGCCTTCCCTAGGTGCCCTGTAAGTACTGCCCTTGGGGCTTGGGGCCACCTTCCACAGGCTCCTCTGGACCTGCCTCTGCTGGTCCGTTCTACCGTTTGGTTTTTCGGCCGCCTGTTGGGCTCTTGGGTGTTCTGTTCTCCCTTGTTATCTGCAGGTAAGAGGCAGTTTTCACTGGTAGGGGCGCAGGGTGCTGTGCAGCTTTGTATTCCCGACATAGTGGCC